TATAAAAGTTGTTGTCAAAGTCATTTTGTACAAAACTACAGTCCATATATGTCTGAAGTACTTGGGCATCTGATGGTAAGGCAAGCTGTTCAGTTGCATTTCTGACACGTTGTCTCTCTGATTGTTGTCCATTGAATAATTTATCACAGGATGGTTTAAGTGTAGGGTGCAACTTATGGAGAAATGCTACTGGAGTTGGATAGTGTTTAGGCCTCCTACACACTAAAGTTTGTTTAGTGACATTGTATAAAAATGATAATCTATAGCTTGAATTTGTTATGTTAAATGTACGAGATTCTCCATCAATTATTCTGTCAGAATAGATAGCACCCTGATCTAATACCACAGAATGATACGTGCTGCTCTGGTTTAATATTCCCACTGTAATTCCACTGTAAGACACTGCCATTACAAAAAGTATCATACATGCCAGAGCGACATAAAAGACAGCTTTAACATTAATGTGATCATTAACTAATAGGGAGAAACAGAATAGCATCATTAATCCAGAAATCCCTTTCCAGTCTGCCAATCATGCCTAAGGATTTAATATTACAAAACTACAGGGATAGACAAATATGTCATATTCATAGGCCTTACAGTTTTCGGGTTTAATAAAATTCTAAATTCAGAGTGGTTTTTTCCGGGTTAAATAGGCAAAAAGGGATTGAATTCGGGTTTAACCCAGTCACATTACACAAAATCGGGTTGTTTCTAAATAAATTTTAAAAACAAAACTCAGAAGATGTAGTTTTGTAATAGACCTCTCAAGCTGAGAATGAATTACATCACAAGAGTAAATACGGCAGTGGGTGTGGTAGAGAAGGAAATAAATTCCATGGATGGCAACTTTCTATGGACATGGTGAACCCGGCAATGAGCAAAAGCAGAAAGCAAGCTCTAGTAAAGAATCTACTGCATATTGCACCAAATCTGTTTTATGAGATGTTTGGTAGCACCCATTTTTTCTTCCAACCAGCTTTTGTAGCTTGAAACAGTTCTAGACCAGTTAAACAAAACATTTTAATAGTTTACTCCATTCCTTCTTCATTGAATCTTGCCGTCCAAAATGGCGGCCAATTATTACGCGTAGGTGGATGCCTTATCTATAATGATATTCATACACCTAGTCATCCGCAGCTCGTGAGGTCTATACTATACTAAACCATCAGGCTATACAAACATTCACTGATAATGACTCGCCAGGCTAATAATATTTACACTTACTAGGTCTATCATTCATAGCAGGAGCCTTTCCACTTTTGCACTTTGTTCTTCTTTCTTTATCTGGTTTATTAATTATCTGGTTGTAGCCAGACTCCTCCCCTTTAGACGTTTTAATTAAATTTTCTATGCTTGCATGAAGTAAAATTGTGCAGGCAACAAAATTGCTGTTGATTTTAACAAAGTTGCCTAGTGGTTGTTGGGCTTACCTGCCACTACATGATCTGCATGGCAACTGTGCTTGTGGCATGTAAGCCTATCAAACTGTGTTGTTAGTAAATTTTGCATTAGTGAAAGTGAAGCAAAACAATACACAAAGTGATCAGCCTGATCAGCCATTTTACGACTACAGTAAAATAATACATTAATAACTTTTATTACTTTATACAGTTGATGTTCAGCAAATAACTGGTGTTACTGTACCTGATCCTGTTACAGGACACAATTCACTTTCACTCAATCATTCAGTGGACGTGCAAACAGATCACAATCCATGCTATGCAGTAGCAATGGAAGAAACTCAACCTACCATTCAGCAAAGAACTCAGCGGTTCCATGCAGTGTGTGTAAATGCACCAAATATTAGTGTAAATTGATTAATTAAATATAATTTAATAAAACTAGTCATTGAAGTAGAAAAAATGGTGACTCAAGATACCGTATAGGGCATAATATTCGTGGGACACAAATTTCGCTGATTTCATGGATAAAGAAAATTCGCGAAAATAAAATCCACGAATATCAATTTAATACAGTATCCACATGTGGTAGAATTCGCGAAATTAAAATCCACGAATTAGAATTTTAGTAGATTTCACGAAAATTTGCCTCCCACGAACATTATGCCCTATACGGTAATATCATGCATTAATAGCAGTCTTGTTTGTACCTTTTAAAGTTATTCTGTATCAATAATAATTGGATACAGTCATTGACAACATGATCATAATCAATAAGATACTTGTTATAGAACCACAGACCTGTTTTCATTTCCTTCATTATAAATGGGAGATCACTAGCACTGACTATACATATGTTATGTCTTATATTTCTATCGATACAGTCTCCATTCTCTAGCATATGGGCCCAAAGTCTTCGTGAAAACCTTGGCAATTTTAGCCCAGCAGCCTTTAGCTTCATAAAATTACCAGGAGCATCCTTTAACATGTTCAATGTATCAAAAAAGAATTCCTCTGCTGATTGTGTATACTCCAGTCTCTTTCTCAGTGCTATTGATTTGCTGTCAGTGAGTGCATACTTAACAAAATCTCTACTCAATGCACTGTTGATTGATTCTGCACTTTTATATATTGGGAAATTTGGTAGGGGGCCAACTTTCCCTGGGGGGCTGCCAGGTACAACCTTTTTTGCCATTAGCCAATTATAAGCATATCCACTTTTAGGATCAGAAGCA